GGATTCCAGGGAGGTGCTCTTTGGGATGAAACCGAATGAATGAGAGAATGTGCGGCAGGAAGTGACAGGGTGACTCAGGGTTGCTCAGCCTGGAGCCTGCCGGGGGCCTGCTGCCCCACTGTCTGCGGGCACAGCAGCTCCCGCCCTCCCCACTCAGGGCAGGGGCCAGGTCTCCTTTCCCCGGGGCCCGGCTCTCCACCGGCTTTGTGCCCAGACTCCTGGAAGTCACCGGGAGAGAGAACATGGCAGGTGCCTGGAGCCGAGTCCGAGTCCAGGAAAGATGCGAGGCAGAACCTGTGAGTGGGAGGGGAGGGGGCTGAGCTGCGGCCCCTTCCCCGGGGACCCAGCCACCGCCTCCCGCCTTCCTCAGAAGCCCATCCCGTCCAGCATCTTCACATTACAGACAGACAGGGAAACCAAGGCCTGGAGAGGTGGCCACCAGCCAAAGTCAAGGAGCCAAGAAAGCCGGAGCACCAAGAGGATCCAAGCCCCGGGTTCTAGCTTGGATCACCAATCCCCAGGCTGGTGCCCAGTTGGTGGAGGAAATGGTCCTTGGGCTAGGCATGCTGAAACCCCCTCCCAGAGGTCCTGCTGGCCCCACCAAGCGCTCTGCTAGCATCATCTCACACAGCCCATGTTCTCTCTTTGAGATGGACCCATATACTTTCTCCATTGTCTGCCAACCCACTGATCCATCCATCCATCCATCCATCCTTCCATCCATCCATCCATCTGTCCATACGGGCATCCATCATCCATCCATCCAGGCATCCATCATCCATCCAACGTGAGCCCTTCCTTGAAGCCTGGCCTTATCCTCAGCATCCCTTTGGAACACACACACACACACACACACACATTTATCCTGTGTTCTTTCGTGCCCCAGTCTCCACATCTGTCCATCCCTCCACCATCCATGCATTCGCCCTTCTGTGCCCTCACACGTTCGTCCATCACCTGTCAATCTACCCGTCCACCCCTCTATCTGCCCACATTGTCACCCACCCATCCATTCATGTGCCCACCCATCAACCCTCCCTCAGACGATCCAGATATTGGTCAGTCCATTTATCCTTCCACACATCCCTCTGGCCGTCCGTCCATCCATCAGCTATTTAGTCATCGAACCAAGCTTAGTAAGCTCTGGCCAGACAGCCGGCTCTGCGGCTTTCCTCTGCCCCCACTCTTCCACGGCCCACTTCCTCCTCTCCAGACATCAAACTCTGCCCACCCCAGGAGCCTCTGTGACTTAGGCCATGGCCCACGGCCTTCAGGAGCTTACAGTTGCCAGTGTTCTGGGATCCCGACCTGGAAAGGCCTAGACCAGGTGAAACCGCCCCCTTCTTCCGTCCTGGTTGGCTGTGAAACTTGGTCTTGCTCCTACCGTTACTGATCTTCAGCATTCACGTGGCTGGGGAGACAGGGCCCCCAAGCTTCCCATCTTCCTACCAGCTTGGTCAAGGACAGCCCGCGTGGTGCCTCCAAGAGGAGGCGGGGGCCCCCGATCTCCGGGGCAGCAGTGAGCATGAGCAATTCCTGCTGCTTCCTGTCTGGCCCCAGCCTGCCCCTCCCAAGCTCCTAGGTGCCGGCTGCTGTCCTTGGCTGCAGGGCCTGATTAATTCTGGACCCCAGCGCTTTGAGATCACTGGATAAGAAGGAATTCCAGAGGGACAACTCAGCCTCATAAAACCTGAACTGGCTGTGTTTTGAATAATTGTAATGATATCTCAGGGCTTTTGCATCTCAAAGTGTTTCTCTCCTGTGATTTAGTGCCTGCAGCAATGTGCAGGGGGGTTAGGTCAGTTAAGAGACCACTGGACCACAGGGTGCACGGTGTGAGCCGGGACTGAAATATCCCCTGGAAGCTCAGTCTCCTCCCGCTCAGCCAGGGGGGTCCCAACATCAGAATGAATCCTCTACACGAGAACCCAGCACAGTACCCTGTGGGTTTGTTACAGGAGGCTGTGGCCAGTCAGGCAAGGGTGGTGGAATGGGGTCAGGTTCTCCCACCTGCCGCTGAGAAACCTCATCCCCTCGAGTGGTCCAGAGGCACCACAAACATGAAGCTCCATGGCAACCTCCGGCAAACTTCCTCCTCCGGCCACGCCCTGGCGGGCCCCTTCTAAGCCTTCAGCCACCTCTTTCATTTTCCCTGCTGTTCCGTCATGCTCCATTATTAAGTGTGAGATGCAAGCAAGGTAACTGAGCTAGTCTCTACAGGTAAGAAACGGCCACGGATGGCAGATGGGACCCACAGCGCAGTCAGGAGCCCATGTGGCCAAGCCTGGATGGGGGCCCAGCCCGCACCTGGGGCCAGCAGGTGGCGGCTTTGGGTCACCCCCGCTCCCCCATCCCCCCGCTCCTCAGGGTCCCAGAGCCCCTGGAGTCTGCGGACAAGGTTGACCCTGAGACACGTCCCAGGAGAGTCCCAGGGACATGGCCCTGCCCCGGAGAGAGGGCCCAGGCCCCTCATGGGGGATGCAGGGCTGGCTGGGTCTCTCTCAGAGGACTTTCTCTTCAGTTCCAAGCTCAGGGCTGAGGCCCTCCCAGCCTCCATCCTGTCTCAGCTTTTCTCAAACCAGCCAAGGTGCCGGGTCTTAGATCTCCTTCTGCCTACCAGGCCTGGGGGCGTTGCTGGCACCGTTCTGGGGGCAGTCCCATGGCTCGGGCATGGCCTTGGTGTGAAGGGTAGGTAAGCTCTCCCTACCCACCCTGCGCACGGAGGCAGAGAGGAGCCAGTTCCCGAAGCAAACCAAGCCCACAACGGCTCCTCAGCATCGCCAGGGAGTGTCTGACCTGCTCAGTTCTGCCCTCTGGTTCAGCAGGACCTCCCTCCCCCTCAGCCTCTGCCTTCTTGTCCTGACCCATTTCCCCTGGCCCCAGGAGGACACTCTGCTCAACTGCCCTGACGGATCTCTGCCTCCAGCCTCTGCAAGAACCGTCCTCTCCGCCCGGAGCCCTTCCAGTTGCCTCCCCTCCACCCTCAGCCCTGGCTGAGGTCTCCACCCTTCAGGGCTCAGCCCCGCTTCTCCTGGAAGGCTGCTCTGACTCCGTGGCTGGGCCGGGCCTCTTCTCTGCCTGTCTCCTGCTAAGGCACTGCCCACCTTATAGTCTCACCATCTGGCTGTCCAGCAGTCTCTGCCCTCAGACTGGCAGCTCCAGAGGGACGGGATCGCATCAAGTCACTGACGGACCCGCAGCGCCCTGGCCTGGAGGGGCTTCAGGACCAGCTGCTGAGCCACTGATGCGTGACGCTGGCGAGACCCCAGGGCCCCCCGCCAGAGGGAACAGCGAGTGGCTGGGTTTGGGAACTTGTGCCCCGAAAGGCGTCCTGCTCTTCTTACCACTGTCTTCCCTCCCTCTTCAACCCACTCCGTCCTGGGGGGTGGGAACCACGGAGGGGAAGGCACGCACAGGGCGGGAGGCAGTCTGCCTGGACCCCCGGGGGAGGGGCAAGGCCTCCGTGACAAGTCCCCACCTCCCAGGCCTGCCCCCCACCTCACCCCGTCCCTGCCCCAGCCTCCAGGGAAGATGAGCCAAGAGGCTGGAGGGAGATGCCTAGATGGTCACCAGCCATGTGGACGCACGAACTCTTAATCCCGCCTCCGAGCACCTCATTCCCTGCAAACCTGGAAACACCACAAGCCGGCAGGACCCGGAAAGCAGGCAGGTCCTGTTTTTGTGAATGGAGCTGTGGCCTGGGTCCTTGCCTCTGCCCAGGCCCTGCTGGACTCGCCTGACCACTCCCTAACCTCGCCAGAAACGCTGACAAAAAAACGGGAACTTCAAAACCTAAGTGTGAGTCAGACAGAGGAGGAAAAGAGGGAAATTCTTCTTCAGCCTCACAAAGGCCTCACACTGAGACCTACCCTGGGGTTAGAGTTCCAGGCCCGCCACCCGCAGGAGCGCCCCCTCCCCGGGCTCAGCATCATCCACAGGTCACCTCGGCCTGGCCCCTGGCCCCCAGCCTCAGGGAGGAGCCAGCCCACGCTCTTGACAGAGGATGGCCACGAACGCCCTGCAACCACTCAGCCTTCCATCTGTGAAGTCGTCCTGAACACCTCCTACGGGCCAGGGCTTGTGCTGAGAACAAGACACGCAGTATCCCTGCCTTCACGGGGCCGAAGGGCGTGGGGAAGCCAGTGAACACACACAGACCAGGGTGGGAGCTGTCCCTCATGCTGGTGGAACTGCCGGAGCTCTGGGACAGGCCTGGCGGGGGGACCTCGGGAAAGAAGACAAGACCACCAACATCGGGGCCACGCATTCCAGGTGGCCAGAGGGGCTGCCCAAGAGGCAGCTCAAATGTCCTAGGACCTGCGATGGGAAGAAGGCAGGACCAAGAGAGTGGTCTGCAGAGTTCCGATAGCCTCTGAGCTTGGGCGGGGTTTCTGGCCAGGCAAGAAGCAAGGTCACTGAGGGCCCGGGGCTTCCCGCCCTGCAGACGGTCAGCTCTAGGGCGGGGTGGGGTGGCAATCACAAGCTCCTCTCCCCGGCAGGGCAGGAAACCCCCTCCATCCTGAGTGAGGGCGGATGGAGGCATGCTGCCTGCCAGAGATCCCCAAGCTCCTTCCTGACCTCCGACCGCCACTTCCCCTTCCTTGCCTGCCTGCCCCGAGGAATCAGCCCTGCCGCCTTTAAAGGGGCCTGATTCAGAGAATTAAGAATGAAACTGACTCACGATGGATGGACGGGTGGTCACTGGGCTGGCCGGGCGCCAGGGCTGCGGCGGCAGAGGAAGCCGAGCGACCGCAGCTGCCTGTGTGCGCTCTGCTGAGAAGGGCAGAAACCACAAAACCCCATTTGAAATTCCACCGTGTGGCGTGGCTTGTGTAATGAGGTTACCCCTCATAAAGGGGGCATTCAGGGCCCACGCGGGCCTGTGGAGCTGGGGACTTGCCCCCCAGGGCCAGCTGATGATGATGTCATCTTCCGTTAGGGAGTCCTCCCCCACCTCCCCCAATGAAGGACTTTAAAAAAAATGCACCAGGAAACTAAAGTGAGAGCCAGAACGGAAGTCTTGGTTTTATTTATAGTTGATAACTTATGTCCGGCCTGCTCCACGGGAGGCCCGGCAGGGAGGATGAAAGTCTGAGGATGGGGCTGACACAAATATGACCCAAAGCCTAGGCTGATGTGGCCCCTGAGAGTCAACCCAGAGCTCCAGGCTGAGCTCCCTAGCAAATGGAGCAAAGAGGGGAATGGGACACCGTAGCGTGACACTTCGGAAAACTGGGATCCGGGAAACCGGGCTCAGACCCCAGCTCTGCCGCACAGGAGCTGTAAGATCTCAGGAGCTTCTTCCTCACCTGGAAAGGGAGAGAAGAGTGCAGAGCTGGTTTGGAGGGCCAGGCCAGGCACCCAGCACTACCTGGATGTGTATTAGAGGCTCTGTTGGCCTGGAGTCTACAGGTAGAAGCACGGCCTCCCATGCTCCCGCAACACTGTGCAAGGCAGACATTGCTAACAGAATGCAGCACACTTTCCCCGAGCCAGATTCTGCCTCCCAGGCCCCTTGCAACGCAGTTCTCCAGGGGAGTGAAGTTGCTCAATCGTGTCTGACTCTGCAATCCCACAGACTATAGCCTACCAGGCTCCTCCGTCCATGGAATTCTCCAGGCAAGAATACCGGAGTGGGTAGCCATTCTCTTCCCGACCCAGGGATCGAACCCAGGTTTCCTGCTTTGCAGCCAGAAGCTTTACCATCTAGTCACCAGGGAGGCCACCACCAATGTGCCAGAATCAGCCTGGGGACCAACCTGCTTGTCATCCTGCCTGTAAGTAGCTGAGGAGAGGCCCAGGAAGGCCTGGGTCATTTCAGTATTCCAAGCACCTGGCTGGTGCCTGCACAGAATGGATGCTCAATAAAAAATTTTCTAGTAAAGGGGGAGGGGGACTTCCCTCTTGGATCAGAGGTAAAGAATTCGCCTGCCGATGTAGGCGATGCAGGAGACCCGGGTTTGATCGCTGGGTCGGGAAGATCCCTCAGAGAAGGAAACGGCAACCCTCTCCAGTATTCCTGCCTGGAGACTCCCGTGGACGGAGGAGCCTGGAGGGCTACAATCCATGGGGTGGCAAAGAGTCGGACACAATGGAGTGGCTCAGCAGGCAGAGAGCATCCTGCCCTGTGCTCAAGGGCGACAGCAGTGAACACGAGGACAGACGGGAGCGGGCCGGCCCTCGGCAGGCCAGGCCCGCTGTCACCAAGGAGGCAGACACTGCCGAGTCAGGGAAGTGAGCAGTGGGTGCCATCGCCGCTCGGAACGGTCAGCAAGGCCAGCGAGGAGGTGACCTGAAACTGAGGACCAAAGGCAAGGACGAGGCTGCTCCGGGTACAGGGAACGGAGTGTGCAAAGGCCCAGGTGGGGAGAGCGTGGGGTGGGGACAGCCTGTGAGCAGACCCGCGGCGGGCCGGCCCTTCAGGGCGCGTGGAGCTGACATCGGTGGACATCGTTCTGAATGCCCGGGACGTCTCTGAAGGCGGTGGTCACAGCATGACCCACTTAAATTACTACCTGGTTGCTCCTAAGCAGATCCTGACTCCAGGAGCCACACTGGGGCTCACCCACCCCCTGCAGGAGCCCCCCACCCACACGTCACCTCCTCAGGCTGGGCGCTCCCACCACCTCTATCAGGGAGAGGGCCAGCGACCATTCCACACCTGGGTTCCACGGGCTCCGGGTCCCACCACACCTTTACTCACCAGCCCAGAACCTGAAATGTGGAGAGACCTGCCCAGACCACCGGGGCGGCCCAGCCCAGGAGCCCCTCCCACTGTCCTTGGAGAAAGGGATGAGCAGCCTTCTTAGCTAAGGTCCTCAGCCCTAGATCGGGGGTCTTTGGGACCCTCCTGCCCTCTGTTGGAAACAATGACCAAGCAGAAGCCACTGGCCCGTCTTGGAGGGGGCAGCAGTCGGAGGCCTTGTGTCATATAACAGCCCAGCCTTGGCACTGCTCGGGCAGGCTGCCCTCTGCCCCTGCCAGCCAGCTCTCCACACTCCAGCCCAAGGGCTTTCCTTAAAACACAACAAACTCTCCACTTTCCCTGCACAGGCCCACCAGGGCCCAGCTACCTCACTCTGGATAAAACCCAGACTCTCCACCAGGCTGGAAGGGCCACGTGATTGCCGCCAGTTGTCTGTCCTCTGGGGTGGGGGGTGGGGGTCCCTAGCCAGCGGATGGCCCAATAACTGCTCCACCAAAAGGTACAAGCCCAAGAGAGGCCCCAGTTCACTCTATCCAGGCGACACCCACCATCACCCCCAGATGTCCATGAGGTGGGGCCTGAGCTGAGCTGTGCCCTCCTCGCCCCCTGACCCCAGTAGACAGGGCCCCCGGTAAACAGCAGCAAGGTCCAGAAAGCAGCTTGTGGCTCAGAGGCTGGCGGAACTCTGATACAAGGTGCCCATTAGCTGAACAGGCTGTCTCTGAGATGGTGAGCTCCCTGGTCCTAGCGATATGAAAGCTGGGACCCTCGACATGGGTATTGGGGGCTGATACAGCTGGTAGACTCAGCCAATCCAAAAGTGATGACACCAGCAGGGCCCTCCCTGTCCTCCCGCCGGGGGAGCAGAGGGTGGGAGACAGTCATGGGATCCGGTGCGAGAGAGCCCCAGCCACAGGCTGCAAGCCCAGCCCCAGCACCAGCCCTGTCTCCCAAGTCACCTGCCCTCTCCCAGACTCACCTTCCTCCTCTGTAAGACAGCAGGGCACGTGGACGGAGCCGGCGCAGAGCCGGAGCAGAACCAAGACCTCAGAAGTGAGGTGGGCGGGGCAGTCGGTGTGGGCGGGGCATCCGGGTGGGCGGGGCTTTCCTCCCACCACCTTTCCTTCCCCTGGGGTTAAGGTCGGGGTGGAGCGAGCGACACCCAACACAAGACCTGCCCTGGGTGAGTCAGGGCACCCTGCTCGGCTTGGGTCACCCCGTGGAGGATCTACACAGCCACCTCCTTCAGGGAGGCTGGAGGCACCCAGGGGACCAGGGGATGCTGTAGCCAGGGTGCCCTTTACTCCTTCCTCCCTTCCTTCATTCACTTTCCATTTATTGATTCACCATCCCCGTCCCGGGCAATAATAGTGCAGATACAGAACAATCTGCAGCTCCTCCATTCCCAGTGCCCCTCACCCACCCCAGGTCGCTTTCATGCTCACTAGCACCACCTACTGGAGGTCCAGGGCGGGCCCCCAGTGGTGTCCTGATGCGTTCCCACTTTAGAGAAGAGGGGACTGAGGCCAAAGAGGCCTGTCTGAGACCATCCAGCGAGGGAGAGGCAGAGGTGGCGTGAGACCTCTGGGGTCCTGCCAAGCAGCCCCTCTTTAAAGAGCCACTTCTGAGGAGGAGATGGAAAGAGCTGGGTGCCAGGAGATGCCTCATCCCACTGCTGTCTGCTGTCAACACCCCAGCAACCCTAGATACTTCCAGCACCCTCACACTGACCCCAGACTGCGTCCCACCAGAGCCTAGTGTTGGCTAACAAAATGTTTTCCCTTGAGCCAGTGTCTGCTTCTCTGACCACTCCACCACCGCAGCCCTGCTGGGAGGTGATGAGTACTATAGAATTGTGACTCTTCCTGCAATACTCAGGGTGCAAGTCTACCTGTTAAACCAATGATGAGATGATATGGTGATGCTGATGATGGTGATAGTGATGGCAATGATAACACTGATGATGACAGCGATGGTGGTAATAATAATGATCGATATAGTGATGAAGACAGTGATAATACTGGTGATGGTGGTGATGGTGATGACAATGCTAACAATGATGATGATAGTGATGATAGTAATAATGATGGAGATGGTAATGAAGATAGTGATGATATTGGTGATGATAGTGATAGTGATGGCAATGATAACACTGAAGATAATAGTGATGATGGTAATAATAATGATGGAGATGGTGATGAAGATAGTGATAATACTGGTGATGCTGATGATGGTGATAGTGATAGTGATGGAGATGGTAACGCTGATGATGATAGTGATGATGGTAATAATGACTGAGATGGTGATGAAGATATTGATAATACTGGTGATGGTGGTGATAGTGATGGCAATGATACACTGAAGATAATAGTGATGATGGTAGTAATGATGGAGATGGTGATGAAGATAGTGATAGTACTGGTGATGGTGGTGGGCTGGTAGTGATGACCATAATAATGATGATGGTGATGGTGGTGAGGATGGCATGAAGATGATAATGGAGAGAATAATTTTATGAAACACTCACTACCTGCCGATTGCATTCCCACACTAATTATTTAATCCTCATGACAACATTTTGAGCACGGTCCCCTACTTATCTCTATTTTACAAGAGGACGATGAGGCTGATTTCAGGGAGGTTCAGTCACATAACTAGTTAGCAGTGGAGGTGAGGCTCACACAGGCGGTTGTAGCGGAATCTGTTCACTGACCACTACCTACCCTACCTCTGTCATGAAACAACCTGCCACATGCGCCCCTCATACGATGCGCATTGTTCGCCACTGAGGGAAAACACTGTCCCCATCAATACCTTCTGGCCGCTCTTCCCCAGTAAGACACAAGGAGGAAGCTGAGGTCCCGATGGGGGGTGCACAGAGTGGTGGGTGCCTCTAGGGCACCACCAATGCCACCCCACTGCTGTGGACACATAACCACGTCACCTGCTGCCACTCTCCACCCGAGGTTCCTGCTCTAATGGGTCAGGCATGGCCCTGATATTCTTCCCCTCATAGCAACCGGCCAGTGGCAAGCCCAGGCTGCAACCACCAGCCGGGACAGGCTCTGGTCAGCACATGGTATGTCTCTCAAGGACCCCATCTGGTAATCAGGCCCTTCTCTGGCCACACTTGCGTGGAACAATGCCTAAAGTGTACTTGGATGCGTTGAGCCTGAAAACATGCTTTATCATCCATCCCATCCTGCTTGGAATGAAACGGAAAGCTGGGTCGTCTTAAAAAACCATGATACAGCAGCCTTGCTCAATATACAGTATACCAAAACCCTTGTCTGCTTGACTCACTTGGGTGTCTCGCTGCCCCGCCAGTGGCTCTCATTCCACTTTACAGATGGGCAAACTGAAGCCTGGAGCAGTTAAGCTGCTTCCCTGAGGCTCTCATCATCGGGAAAAGTGAAAGCGAAAGTGCTAGTCGCTCAGTCGTGTCTGACTCTCCCCGTGACTATAGCCTGCCAGGCTCCTCCAGCCATGGAATTCTCCAGACAAGACTACTGGAGTGGGTATCATTCCCTTGTCCAGGGAATCTTCCTGATCCAGGAATCAAACCTGTGTCTACTGAACTGGAGGCAGATTCTTTACCATCTGAGCCACAGTGGAAGCAGATCATTGGGGAGGGAGCCGTGATTCCAGCCCACCCAGCCCACCAGCCCACCTGCTGCTGCCATGGGAGGGGGACCCACTCAGCCCAGCACCTGCCGCCTCCATGGAAACGAGCACCTGGGATGAAGGCGGTCACATGCTGAGTGTGTTGCCTCATTGCGGTGGGCAGAATTCTAAGGTGGTCCCCATGATCCCCTAAACCTGGTACATGACCCTGTACTCCCTGCCACTGTGGATATGATAGATTCCACTCCTGTGACAAGTGGTGTTACAATGCGCAGCTTGTTCACTCTAAGAAAGGGACATCCGTTAGGTCAGGGGGTGCTGACCATAGGGGTCCTTTGGAAGCAGAGGATTTTCTTCAGCAAGAAAATGGGGACATCAGTCCTACAGCCTCAAGGAACTGAATCTGGTGAATTCAATTCAACCTGAATGATGCAGAAGTGGATTCTTCCCGGAATCCAGGAGGGATGCAGCCTGGCTGATAGTAGGCTAATATTAACAATAATTGAGCAGACTCTGGGAGATAGTGAAGGACAGAGAAGCCTGGCATGCTGCAGTCCATAGGGTCACAAAGAGTTGGACATGATTGAGTGACTGAACAACAGCAGCAATAATTGTATTATGATTTCCATGCAGATGGAAGAGGTGCCCAGCCAAGTTCTGGGGCAGGAAAACAGACTTTGGCATCTCTGCCTCCCTGGTTAGAGCCCCAGGTGAAAATCTCACACCCAAGGAGCAACAAAGAGGCCAGTTTGTGCCTCCCCACCTCAAGTTCCTGGGGCAGACGGGAACCCTGCCAGCCAGTAGAAAAGCCCACATACTCATGCCCTCAAGAACCTTTCAGAGGAGTTTAAAAAAAAAAAAAAAGTATTTCTCAAACACCCTGATAGCTCAGCTGGTAAAGAATCTGCCTGCAATGTGGTTTGATCCCTGGGTTGGGAAGAACCCCCGGAGGAGGGTATGGAAACCCACTCCAGTATTCTTGCCTGGAGAATCCCAGGGACAGAGGAGCCTGGTGGGCTACAGTCCACAGGGTCAGAAAGAGTCGGGCATGACTGAGCGACTCAGCACAGCAGAGCATTTATCAAACAGGGCTTCTCTGGTGGCTCAGTGGTAAAGAATTCACCCACAATGCAGGACACCTGGGTTCGATCTTTGAGTTAGGAAAATCCCCTGGAGAAGGGACTAGCAACCCACTCCTGTATTTTTGCCTGGAGAATCCCAGAGCAGCCTGGAGGGCTACAGTCTCTGGGGTTGCAAAGAGTCAGACACAACTGAACAACTAACACACACACACACATTTATCAAGCAGTAAGAAAAAGTAACTCTTAAAAACCTACAAGGGCCTTTATTCTGTGTCCACAGACTCAGGACGAAACGGACACAGGTCCTCTGCTAGAAACACTAGGACCAAAATGATCCCAGTCGCTGCTCCCAGGAGCCCTGGCAGAGGCAGACTCGGGAATGACGGCTGACACAAGGCACCAAGGGGAGATGCAACTGTCTTGTGCCGCTTGGAGGGCACCCGCCTGCACCACACCGTGGGTTGGGCTGTGTTCTGGGCCCTGGAATCGAGCAGAGGACAGAGACCCGGTGCATAGGCTGTTTATCACGTGGTGTGATCCATGCAGGAAATGGCAACCCACTCCAGTGTTCTTGCCTGGAGAATCCCAGGGATGGGGTTGCATAGAGTCGAACATGACTGAAGTGACTTAGCGGCAGTGATCCGTGCAAAGCCTGGGTCTACTGGGGAGGCTGTGGAGCTCGGAGACGGCTGGCAGAGAAGGGCAGGAGGCTTTATCTGATCCCCATGGAGCCTGGAGAGGCTTTCCAGGCAGACCAGGTGAGGAAAAGCATAGTGGGCAGAAGGAACATCCCGGGCAAACGTACAGAGGCTTATTGGGGAACCACACGCTGCTGGGCACAAGGAGGGCTGTCTCCTCTGCGAAGGAGCCCTGGGCCTCGCTTCTGGAAGGGAATTCCTTCCTTCTATTCCTTCCAAGACTGACTCAGATGACTGATTAACCAAATGCACCACTTTCCCAGTAAGTTTTGCAAACTGAGCCAGCCACCAAACAGGGCCCAAGAGAGACCCCAGAGGGAGAGAGCAGAGGCCAGAAATCTGGAGATGCTGAGCTCGGCAGGCAGAGGTTTGGCCCTCACCTGATGTCTGAGGCCATCAGGTGACCCTGGACAGTGGGTGAGGCCAATGCAGGTCCAAATCTCAGGACAAGGTACTCCAAGCCCTTGAGATAAAGTTCAGCGGCTTTGTTCAGGAGTATTTATGATTTTTCCTCAAAAGCTACTTCAATTTAGATCTTAGAGCAGGGCCAGCACTTGCAAAGCATGCATGCTATCCCTCTCCATTATTGCTCAGAGCAGACAAAACTAATCAGTGGTAGAATTCTCAATCCAGTTACTCAAGCAACCGATCCTT